CCCAACATTAAATTCACACAATCCCCACTATGTACCGGCCGCTGTGACAATTACAGCACAGCTGACTGTACAAATGGGCCGCCGATTGACGCATCTTCTGACTCACGGTAACACGTTTTGCCGTCGTTGCCCAACTGCCAGCCGGGATTGCATTCGCAGCTGTACGAGCCGTCCACATTCACGCAGTGGTGCAGACAGCCGCCGTTGTTCCGCAGGCACTCGTCAATGTCTGTGTTTGCAGATAAGAAAGAATAATGAGGATATGGGAAAAGTCGGTGAAAGTGAGCAAAGGAGAACTGAAAAACACACTTCAGGTTTATGTGACGATGCAAAATCCTTTCTATAGACCCCTCCGGCCAGCCGTTACCCCATTTTCCGCTCTAATATGTCATATAAGCTGTGTTCACTCTAATTCGTGTGAGGTGATGAAGGAATGTTAATTCAATTTTTCCGCAGAAGACCTTTTGTTTCCATTCAATTTCACATAACCTTGCTTTCCCAAAAAAGTATTCTCATACGGGCGAGAGTGAAAAAAGCTCCACACGTCAACCACTACCACCCTTAAATCTGACGGCCGATATGAATTTCAAGGAGAGTAAGGACATTTTCCCATATCACAATCTGTGATGGGATTGGTGAAGAAACAAAGTTATATTTGCTACAGCAATCGACTGCATTACTCGGTTTTCATTTATCAGTAGGTTTGCGAGACTATACATAAATCAGAAATGTATGATGTGTTACGCAATTGTCAGCAAATCTTGCATAATAATTGAGTCCGCCTTGTTGGCTCAAGATGAGTAAATAAGCTCTACTGAAGACCTTTCTCACAATAACTTGAGCAAGCCTCATGATGTCGTTGAAGTTCACTTATGAGTCCACTCCTGAAGGTTTTCACGCCCCAAACTGGTTGGACTACAGTTTTCATTTCGTACCTTCGTCAAATCATCCCGGCAAGACGTTGCCGATCCGCGTTAAAACAACGTGAAATCATCGTAATTCCCTCGGGCCGATCAAATGACCTCTTCTACAATCCCACTGTGGATTGTGATTTGGAAAAGGTCTCGTCAGCCGCATCTGCCCTGTAAGCCTCTGACTTACGTGGAGTGCTGGCCTATCGCCAGGATGGACACGACCCAGCTTCGAATCCCGTCGGGGCTCGAATTTGCAAGCCAGCCTGGAGGAAAAACCCTTTGGAGGTAAGTGATGTTAAATGGCATCATCAATATCACACCTTTAGTTGTGGGAAAAGCCTCATTTTCAATGATTTCATCATCCTAGGCCACTTGGGCTGAGTCATTTCGAAGAAAAGTATTTAACAAATAGAGCGACAATTTAACTAATTAAAAAATGTGGTACAATAAAGGCTTAGATTGCCTTGAAATTCACATATCTCTTATGTCCGAAATGAATTCATGGCAGTTTGGTGTAGTAATAACATTTTAATTTTCCTTAATACATTTTTCAAACTAATTGTAGACCTATGAGAAGCATACGCCCGATTTCGTTTAAGATAATTAAGGACTGGTAGTTTAATTTTCTCATAATTAAATGAGTAGACCTTTGGAGTTCACATCATCTTGGATTCCCAAGGGTATTTTCAT